CTCTCAAAAGGATTATCAGGCATCCAAAACAACTTACTCTGTCAGAATTCAGTGACTTTGATTGGACTGGAAACATGGATAATAGATCATCAACAATTGCCTTTGTTATCTATCTAGAAGGAAATCCAATCTCATGGAACTCCCCTAAACAAAAGTCAGTTGCTAGATCATCTACAGAGCCTGAATATCGAGTTCTTGCAAACGTAACAGCTGAGTTTATATGGATTCAAAACCTTCTGAGTGAGTTATGCATCCCTTGCCACTTTTCTTCTTCAATTAAATGTGACAATGTTGGCGCCACTTACCTCAGTTCAAATCCAATGTTTCACTCCAAGATGAAACATTTTGCACTTGATTATCACTTTGTTCGCAAGTATGTCAATTTTGGCCAGATATCAAGTATCTTATATGTCAACTAAAGAATAGCATGCTGATGGTCTTGTAAAACCACTTGCGAGACAAAGACTCGTGTTTCTTCAAGCCAAGATTGGTGTAGCTGATTGCTTGACCATTTTGTCAGGTCATGTTAAGGGATTTATCCAGCAGAACCAAGAAGTAGCAACAGATACGACAAGCAGATCCGCAACAACACCAGTCCACAATCACACAGCTAGAAAAAGCTGCAATCAAGCACTAAGTTGCAATCATATAATAATGACACCAAAATCAAATCACACAGATGTTATTGCAGATCAATTCTAAATGCAATCAAACATGTCAAGGATACGCAATCACAAAAGAAAACACTAGAAGCTGTCAATTGCTGACAAAATTTCAGATTTTATGTAATTAAAATCTTCAGTAGTGTTAGTTTTAGAAAACAGAGGCATTTTCCATTTTTTTTCATGAAAAATGAAAAACAAGAGTAAAAATGTATTTGGTAACTGAAAATGAAAACAAATTTTTATATAAAAAAAATGAAAATGGATTCAAATATGAAAGAAAAAGTTGTTTACAACTATGAAAATAAAGGAAATTCATTACTTTTTTACTTTGCGTTTTGCAAGTTAATGAGTTGACTTATATTTGAACACTTTTTTAAGCCATTAATTAATGAAATATGTATTATATATTTATAATTAGAAGCCTAATAGTAATTATTTCCATAAGCAGTTTTTTTTTTCTTTTTTTGCCTTTAGACATATTTGACATCTTAAATTATTTATAATCTCTTTTGCCTCTTTTTCACTCAAATTCATTTTACAACAGTTTATGAAATTAGCAAATAAAATTTAGAAGTATGAAATAAGTGATAATATAATTGAATATTTTATTTATTTTTTATTTTTTCTTAAAAAAATTATATTATATCAAACATATTTCATGATTTTGTATTTTTAAATAAATTTTTTTTCGTTCACCAAATATATTTCTAGAAAACACAAATTATTTTTCCAAAAATAAAAATAAAAATAAAAACAAAAATATTGATGGTGTTGCATTTTTTTAAACGTATTTTGCCGTATTTATATACATGTAATATTAGTCAATAAAACTAAACTCCTTTCAACACATTATTGCTTATTTTTATATGACATTAAGTGGATTTGATGTTCAAACCTTATCACCTACAACCTCTTCTTCTCTCTCTAGATTGTAAACTCGATCATTTGTACTAAAGAATTTTGGGAAAAAGATAAGGAATTTAAGCATCTTGTTAATGAGGCAGTTTGAGTTATTTCGTTGCCAATGCCTACTTAAATTGGTCCAGGGGACCAGTTCACTATATATACCAAAAAGAGAAGATACCATATCGTCTCTACTTTTTGTGCCCAAACAAAATAAATTCTCTTATTTCCTTTGCCGGCCATATGCATCTCTTAGGTGCTAAGGAAGGTATTTCAGCCATTCAATCATCAAAGGCTGCCCAAAACCAAGGGGGAAAAACAAAGAAAACTTGAGGAATCTACGCAGTATTTTCCACCTTCCAAAAAGCAATATTCTCTTCCATTTCAACATCAATAAAGCAAGAATAAAAATTATCAGGTGTGGTTAGGAGCCAAGCTTTCTGCTTCATTGTAACTGGACCGAAAACCTACTCTCTTTTTTTTTTCCCCCGATCAGTGCCTTAAACCTATTTAAACACCAAGCTTAATTAAAGAATGAAAATAGTAGATTCCTACAGAATTAACCTGCAGGCTCTTCTTCAAAGTGATTAATTTCAGTGTTTATTGGGATAAAATTAGGTAATGATATATTTTGATTGTTAACTGGGTTATTGGAACTTTTTTTTTGTTAGGTTACAAATACATGTAAAAATGTTCATTACAATCATATAACTTTCATATATATATATATATATAATCATATCACATCAATAGATTAAATTAATTAATAAATAAACTATAGAAACTAATATAAAATTAAACTAAATTCACGTTAGTGCCATAGAACTTGAACTTAAAATAAACACACAAAAAAAAAAAAAATGTTAAAGGAAGTTTTGTTATGGATTCCATCTTGCAAAAGTTCTGAGCACCAATTCATAGAACTTAAGTTACGTAACAAGTTTGTGGAAAAATTTATACGACTAGTAATGTTTCTTAAAATTTAGAAATCAAAAAATGATAAAAGGGATGACGTCTTGCATTTCAGAGGGAAATATTATGTAAAAATAACTCACGCCCACTGAACTACAAATCCAGCAGCTTCGTGTGCCCGATGTCTTCAAAATAATTGAGCTTCGACCAGCTGCAGCTACGTTTTTTATTATACATGCAAGAGTTAAATCGTATTCATGGAATATTGATTGATTTTATATAGATCTCCTTTAATTACAAGCTCCTTTTTAACTTCATTTGACACACGTGCTACATACGGCTTCAATTATAAAGGGAAAAAGTATAACCAAAAGCATTTACAAATATAAATTAAAGCATAAAAATCATAACTTCCCATTCTCTTCCAGTACCAGTGCGCATGCACCCTTGAAAAGCAGGAAGCATCAAACCTTTTTTCTTCTTTGGATGAATTGATGTTAATTAATTTTCTCTTAACGTAGCTACTTAATCAATGACACCCATTGCAAAAGAGAATAATGTATTACTATAAATTCTAACTCGGTTATAATAGTTGAAATTTCAAAACCATCGACAGGAACATTGCCGGAAAGCAAATGCAGGCCTAAAAAAAGCACCTAAATTGTAAATAGACACATTCTTAACCTGCCCTGGCTTTTTCATAAAGTAACCCGCTCATGCAAAAGAAAAAAAAAACAAGTGGAATCTCTTGAATCCCACCAAAATATCCTCTTCTCTTCTCCCCCACTATATTAACTCATTGTTGCTTGCCATACTGCTGCATGTTTAGTCAGATGCGAGTTTTCCAACATAGCCCTTTTGGTTAAATCCACAAAATTTCCTTCTTGGTTGTTTCCTTACCACAAATTTCTCAAAATTCTCTCTTAACCAAGTTTATTAGAATATCTATCAAGGATATGGATTCAATTAAGGCAGAGAAGTTTCAAGCAATGATGAAGTACAGGAAAAGTGGGTTTCTTTACAACCTGTTCCTTCATTTGCTAGCTGGATTAGCTTGTAGTTTATTTTTCTCCAATCCTTTTTGGTTTCCTTCTTTATGTTCATCCATGAAGCATTTTTTCTTAATCTCTCTCCCTTGTATTTGGTCTTCTTTCTTCAATCCCAAGTGCTTGTTCATTGTGGTTAATGTTATTGTCATCTTCCTTGTTGGAGAATCAAGGCTTGTGGGCCCAAATTCATCTTCAACTCGTGAATTTTACAATGAATATATGGAAAGAAGTCGTAGCCTTAGAGAAGTCTCATTCTCAACACCACAAGAGAAGATCAGGCAGCCGCAGGAGAAAAAGGTAGAAGAAGTGGGAAAAGAAGCTGTAATGAAGGAAGTAGTCAATACGGCTGAAGATAAAGAAGTGAATTCGAAAGAAGAAGATGAAGATATAGTTGAAATGAAAGAAGTGAAGTTGAATGGAAAAGAAGAAAAGGAAGCTGAAGTTAAAAAAGTGATTACATCTGAACCAAAAGAAGCGAAACAGGAAGATAGAGTAGTGGAAGAAACATCTGAAATGGAAGAAGAGGAAAGGGAGATTGTTGAAGAAGAGGTTGGATTGCCTGCTGAGGAACTAAATAAAAGAGTTGAAGAATTTATCGCTAGAGTTAACAAACAAAGGTGGCTAGAAGCTCAATTATCATTGTGTTGCAAGGCATAATTAGAATTTAAGTGTATCCACTGAAAATCAATTTTATTAGTTATTTATTTGATAAATTAATTACTACACTAATTGCCTTTTCATATATATTATTATGTTTTAACAAGTATTAAAGCAAAGAAGTTGGTTGTGTATAAGGCTCATACATTGAATAGGATATATTTATCACTTAAAGCTCCACATATATTTATCACTTTCATAAATTAAATGATATTAAAATTTACTAATTATCTTTGAATCAGATTCAATAAGATGATACCGATTTGAGTTGGTATGTTTATTGCTAAAAGTTGAATTGTATAAATTTCTTTCTTAAAAATCTAATAATATTTGTCTTAACTGATCTGTTGTATATAATCTTATGTTTGTTATATCAGCTTGTAAAGCAAGTACGCAGATTTCTCTCATATAATATCTACAATTGAGTAATTTTTTTTTCTCTGTGTATCTGTGAGCTAAATATATGCTTAACCATTTCTGTCTATTTGCATAAATATGTGTTTTTTATTAGATCTGAAAATTTAAAATATAATATGTTAATAGGACTAAAAAATGATATGAAAAATAAAAGTGAGACGATTTAAAATTTTAATAAAATAAAAAATATATATCTCATATTTTTGTATTAATACAAATTATAACACATAATTTTTATGTTAAATATAATACAAATTTATGAATTGTTGATATTTTACAAAACATTAATATACGAATTTACCAAATAAAAACTATTTTCCAAATATTCTATTCGTTTAGAAATCTAAAAAAAAAGGGCCGCACACTAACATGCCTAGTTGAAACGGAAAGACGCAAGACCATCCAGCTTTATTTGAAGACGTTTACCTTCGAAGTCCCCAGTCATTAAACATTTATCTATTTCTACAATTTAACGCCCCAATTACACACAGTGACTAAAATTATGAATCTTTTGCCCTGCTAATTGAAATGAAGAAATTTGGAGCCCGTTAAAATATTGGTGTTAAACTTTTTTAACTCATTTTAAAAAGCATAAGCTTTTTTATTTTGTCCGTACAAGCTATAGTTGTAAATGGATCATTACTGACAAGAAAACCAGACAAGATAAAAGCTAGGCATTGAGCAGACCAAAAAATTGTCATTTCGATCATTGAATGGACAAAGTCCAACTAAGATACAACAAGGATGGCACTATTCCAGCTTGGAGGAAAAAGCACCTAGCTCACTAACTCAACCACAACAAAAGAAGCCGGCAAAACCACTACAAAATACTAACGCTTACTCAAACTAAATGTCGAGTACAACCAATTCTAGATAATGTTAACACAAAATAGGAGAATGCTATGCAATGGAATTCTCATAGAAAAAGGATCTAGAGAACTCCTTTGCTTGCCAAACATTGGGGGGGGGGAATGAACTAATTCTATTTAATCTCTTAGCCACGAAACCCTCAGAGTACCAGAGCAACCTTCTCAGGAGAAACAAGTGAAGAAGCATGGGCAATCAAAGGTTCATAATGATCAGCGCCAGCACCACACCAACCTACACGTTAGGGAAAATTTAAAAGTGCAAAATTGCAATCTGACGATAAAATCTTTCAAGTACGCGCCAATATCAGCAATACAACTAATGAAAATTTTCTATTACCTGTTCCTTTCATAAACAGGAAGAAGGGAGGCTCACATATTTCACTCCTTGGACGATGTGGAAGGAAGAAAACACAATTGTCTTCATCAACCATAGCATCTGATCCATGCGCTTGCACCTGTAACGAATGAGTTAAAATAATGAAAGTTCAATCTAAGCTAAAAGTGAAATGAGTTTATAAAGAACATGAACATTCATTAGTGCCTATTCCATTGCATACGCATTGGCAACATCATCACCCAAAATTGTTTGGTCTGTGCTAGTTTAATCCAAGACTACAATATACAAGGAGAAAGGCCAGAGTATATACATATGAGATTGACAATTAGTACCAAGAAATGTTAGGGAATGCTTTCCTATATAATACAGTATAGGAAACAGAGTGTAAATAACAAATCCATGCATGCATCTAGAATGAGGATTTAATCAGAGAACTGAATTTAAAAAAAAAAAAAAAGGTTTATATGCACCCCTAGTTTAGTACCATATATTAAAAAGATTATCTTTTCGTCCTGGCAAATAACAAAGTTCTACATTTGTGAATTCTTCACTGCATTAGCATCTTAGTCTCAGAAGTCATGGAATACTGATGTATTGATTGATTAAAACATCGACATGAGGTTATGAACTAAAATTACTAATGCCCAACATAAACAACTAGTGTGATGAAATAAAAGGCACCAATCAAATAATACAATGCTTTGAAGACAATAACAACTGACATGGCACTTAATATTTAAATCTGTTCCCCTGAATTTACTTAAAAGAATCAGGTTTGAGCAACCAAATATGCATACTAAAAGTAGCAAATCAGCAAAATTCAATCGATCATAAGATTACGAATTTATGATATAAACAATGCTTATACTTACTACATATATTTCTCTATTAAACTCCGTTGCAAGACATTCGATGGCAATGTCATCTCCAAATGCAGCAGCATGACCTTCTCTATTCTCATCTACAGATAATAAACCCTCCTCAGTATATTGCAAGGTGATGATATCATATTCATCATCAGGTGAACCAGAAATCGACATGTATTTGGCCCAGCTTGAGTCATCATTCACAGGAACACATCTCTCTTTGTAAATAGATTCCGCTACCAATTCTCTTCAATCAGAAGAAATAGATGATAAAGAAACAGATCCAACAAAGAATTAATATGATAATCTAAAATTAACATTTAAATATTCCAAATTAAATTTAATGCCGTAAAAATGTCCAAACATGCGTTAATTTTTTTTAAATATAAAATGCAGCTAGTCGTGAGAAATTTTTGTTTTTAAATTTTGCCTTAAATTCTTTTTGTTTTTGTCTTTCGTGCATCTTCTCGGGGAAAAATGTAAACATTTGAAAAGAACTCATCCTCAAACTATAATCAGACAAACAGATCCAATAAAAAAAAAAAAAAAAAAAACCTTTGCATTCCGAGCTGTACGATGTCGTCAATGGCCAAGTCCAAGGCAACGCGCTCCTCCTTCTTGGCTAACAACTTAACTTCTTGAACCACATGAACCCCCCACCCATTCCTCAGATCCGGCGAGTACATATTCCTAATCGCCTCATTTATAACTTGCCTCTCTTCTTCCTTAGCAGATCCAAAATCCTCCAAGAACCGCTTAATTGTCCGCCTCCTCAGATCCCGCGCGTCCACCTCACGCGCCATCGCCCTTTGCGAGGCTGTGAAGAGGCAGTTTCCATCCGCCGACACATCGCCTCCATGAGACAGCCGGAACACCAACGATGAGCCTTGCTCGTTCGGGTGCTTCCACAGCACTCCCTTGGTGTGAAGCTTTATTAGATGCCGTCTCTGCTGGTCCTCTAGGCCAATAACGTTCTCCCACGTGGCAGCCGTCGTGGACGCGATGGTCTGGTCAACTAGATCAACTGCTTCAAGAGTCGCTGAGTTTGGTTCCCTCCAAGGGACCGTCGGAGATGACGTCTGAAATGTCTCCGCCACGGTCGACGAATCGCAAAGAAGTTTCCCCATTTTCAATTTTTCTCCTTTTTTTTTCTTTCTTGATAACTATTTTTCTACGTTCGTTTGAATATTATTGGTTTTATCTTTTGTTTTTTTTTCTCTTCTCTTCTTCGATTGAAGGGTCACAGAGAAGACAAAGTGATGAAAATAGATAGTCTAGGGTTAACGGATAGATGTACGACGCGGGAGACAAATGATGGCACGTGGCCCAATCAGGATGATTTAGGGACTCAAGAGGAGTGGTCTCTGACCGCAGGAAAGAGATGCTAACGTAAGCTGGTGGACCTTCACGAGCAAACCTGCGCCATGTATTATTTTCTTTTTTTATATATTTCTGAAAAAAATAAGAGAAAGTTACATTTAATTGTGATCAGTGATTTTCTCTAAAATAAATATTATCTCATATAAATATATAAAAATAAAAATATTTGAAAAATTTGATGTTTTAAAATTTTTACACAGGTATTCTTGAATATTTGCTGTATGTCCTTTATTTATGTATATATTTAAAAATAATAATTAATTACATATGATTTATTTTCATTACTCTTGAAAAAATTAATTAATTAGATATAATAATCTTAATCTTAAATAAATATATAAAAATTAAAGTTTTTGACAAAAGAGACAACTGGCCCCCAGGTGGTGTTTTTAATTTTTTGACAGCTGAATAATTTTGAATATTTGTTATGTATCCATTATTAATGTATAAATTTAAATTTTATATATTTAAAAACTAATTAATTTCATGATTTATTTCCATTATTTATTTTTGAAAAATCAATTAATTGCCTATAGTAATTTATTTTAATTATTACAATACTTGCTTGTGGAAATCATATTTATATTTTAGGAAATAATGCAAGGTAGACCATTTTTTTAACAATAAATTATTTTTATTGGAAACCATAATTCTATATAATTTATTGTCATTATTATTACATGAATTCTGAAATCAAAAGACAAAAATCCTTTATTATTTTCTTTCTCATTCACACTTTAATTATAGTAAATTATCTATCATAAATCATTCTAAATTCAATTATCAATCAATCTTTTCACGTCTAATTCAAAATTTTATAAATATATATATACTTTTTTATTAAACAAGTTTTTTATCTATAAAATGGAAAGGTCATATTTTGCATTTAAAATAGATAAAAGTTTAAATTTTGAAAAATCAAATTTATGCGGAAATTTAGATTTAATTTTAAGAGTTGCTTATAAAATATTTATCAAATAGGGATTACAAGGGATAGGGACGTAGGATCTAAGACGAATCGAGCATTTTCAAATCTTCATTTTTTATTTTTATATTTATATTTGTACCATGCACTGAATTTTTTATTATATTTTTTTATAATTTAAAATTTTAATTTATATTAATTTTTAAATTTAAATTAAGATAAAATTTATATATTTTGAAAAACTTGTATAAATGTAAATTTTTAAATTTTAAAAAATTAAATAATTGATTGGATAAAATTATTTAAAATTATCTTACATATTAATAATATAGATTATCATCTAAACGTTTACGTAAATAAATCTTATTAAGTTTTCATATATATATATATATATATATATTGCAATATAATATTATATATGATAAAAATATCAATGGATAATGACGTATGATATAAGACGAATTGAGCATTTTTTAATTTTTATTTTTAATTTTTATATTATATTTATTTTTATATTTATATTTAACAAGTATTTCAAATTAATTCTGATTTTTATATATATTTAAAGGATATAAATAATCGATCTTTTAAAAAATAAAAAGTAAAATTTAATTTTTTGAATTTTTTATTTTTATCTTATACATTTAATTATTTTGTTATAATTATATTTTTTAAATATAAATATATTAATTCCAATAAATTTAAAATAAAATTTTTATTTTTTAATATAAAATATATATACAATATGAGTATGACACGAGTTTTATATTATCTATTCTTATATCTATTCCTTACAAAAATTTTAAAATTATATTAATCTCGTTTCCATCCCTAAAATTGACTACCCATCCATAATCAAACATCGTCAAAATTTTCATTATGACCGTTAAACACGTCTCTCTCATATTCTTCTATTTTTGCCTTTTTTTTTTTTTTTATTCCCTAATACAATTCATAGAACGCTACAAATACTCTTAAGGTATGATGTTCGAGCGTCAGCTAATAAAGATAGTGCATGATCATCAACTGTATTCGTTTTTATTTTCTTTTTATGTTACACGTTTTTTATATCTTAGTTTTTTTATATCGTGATTAGATTGGTTTCTTTTATTTTTCATTTAATATATGACACGTGCACACACTGGATAAGTTTAAATGCCTTTATATACATATATATTTATATATATATATATATATTATTTTTTATGTATAATTTTCTTATAAGGAATTTGTTAATATTATGATAAGATATTATAAGATGATATTATAAATAAAATTAGATTAAATAATATTATTTATATTATGTTTTATATATGTAAAGATTAAAATAAAATTATAATTTATTTATTAATCAAATTTTTTTTTAAAAATTTTTTTATATAATTTAAGTTATTGATATAATTTTTAAAGATATAATAAAATATATAAGTTCAATATCATTGACTAAAAATAATTTTTTTTATTTTAAAATAATTGAATCATTTTATAAAAAAGATGATTAATTCATTTTGTAATTTTTTTTTTTTTTTAAGATGCAAATCAAATATGATCCAAATGTTTATCTCAGCCAAAGTTTCAAGCACCAAAACTTATAAAGTTAATAAAACATCAAAGCAATAAAAAATTTAACATGAATATCGATCATGGTAAATATGTCTCTTTTTTCATTATTGTAAGTTTTATGTTGCGCTCATTGAGTAGGCCTTTGAATCTTCTATTTTACATCACCTTCGCAAATCACAAGTCTGGGATCGATAAAAATGACATTCTTTGTTTGAAACGCCAAGAGAAGTGTAAGTTCTCCCATGCTCATCGCAGGTTCACCTTGCATAGTCATTTGGTCCACTTACTGGCTTCTTTGAGACGTCACGTGAAGTTCTTAGCTCCTTTACCTGAGTGATTATTGAGGTAGAGGAAGGTTGTTGAACCGTTCTCATGCCTTAAGTGACCACTTTTGGGTGGTTTCTCGCTTGTGCAAGATGTGCTAAATTACTGCAAGGGAACATGTTTTTAGCAAAGGAAAATTCCATCGAAAATTACCATATTTTCTCCATAAAAAATAGATTTTTCTCCTTAAATTTTCAACGAAAAATTTAAACATTTGAAAATTTTTGTAGGAATATTTGAAGTCACTGCCGGAAACAAAAAAAAAATTCATTGAAAATAGGATAATTTTAGCAAATGAATTTTTGGTTGAAAATTTATAAAATTTTGTCACTATACAATTTTATATTTATGGAATTTAATTAATTCATAAAAAATTTTCGTTATGAAAATATTCTGCCGAGTTATGTTTCGTTGGAAATTACAATTTTTAGTTGAAAATAATAAAATTCCGCTAGTAAATCTTCATAAGTATATCTTTAATTTTTTATTGTTTTTAATATTCTAGATCAATTTATTTTTCTATATCTTTTTATATTTTCGTTTAAAATAGACTATAATAGATTAAAATATAATAAATAATTTTTTTTTGTTTCATTGATGAAAAACAATTAATCTTTTACAAAGTTGTTACAAAATGTATACAAATATTCAAAAAAATTTTGTATAAATATGTTACAAACTTATTATTCAAAAATTGTTAATGAAATCGCAAGCCAAGTTTACAAATTTTATAAAAATTATCAATGTATGTTGATTTGAGTGATAATAAATTTAATTATTTTTAATTAAAATTTTGATTTTAAATTTTACGAATGAAAAATTTTATTTTTCATATAAAATTCGATCTGAATTAATTTTAAATTAATTAAAATTTAAAATAATTATTGAACATAAAAAAATCTCAAAAAAAATTTTTTTTTCTGCAGAGGCTAGACCCATTTGCTTCTTGCATGATATCAATGACATGGATTATGTGTATCATGATGATGGCTCAGCATTCTGTGCAAGAGCAAGCCTAGCCACGATTTGCGCAGGTCGTCTTGGAGGTAAGTATAATGATTGTAAGTGAAATAGTTGTACTTTCATTTTATGATAAATACATATTTCATTTTCTTCTGGGCCCATGTAATCATGAATGAATAAGACTTAAGTAGTGTTAAAATCGCAGTTACTCTTTTTTTAATTTAAACCCTTATGTGCCTATGAGCAAGATATTCTATTTTGAGAAAGTGAACCTCTTATCAAGGGGAGCAAGAAATTCTATTGCCAGAAAGTCAAGGGGGCAAGGCTTAAGAACCACTGGCTACCATCGGTGAGACTACAAGAGCTGAGGACAAAAAAAAAGGGGGGTGGGGAATCAAAAGCCACTTCAATTCGAGGTATTCGGTTTGATTCAATTAGAATATTAACTTAAAGTAATTTAGATTCGATTTTATTTTTTAGGTAATTTAAATTATTCAATTCAATTTTGAATATTAAAAATACATATAATATTATTTGAATCGACCTACATATTTATTAAAATAATGAAATATAATAATTTTTGAATCAAATGTTTTTTTATTATAATTAAATAATTTAATGTAAGTCACGTGAATACAATTTGAATAAAGTTCAAACTTTCTAATCGTATATACATTTGAAATTTTGATATAAATGCCTATAGCTTTGTGGTTTTCATTTGATAGAAAAAAAGATCATTGAAAGAGTTATTGATATTATTGAGGATGAACTTCTGCAAACACCAGATTTGAATTCATAAAACGAAGCCAAAGCAATAAACTTTGGTTCTTGTTACCCTTCGGTGCGGTTTCGGTTTATAATTTTGAAATTTGAACAACCGAAAACTTCGATTTGGATAGCAAATTCGGTAAAACCCGAGCCCAACCGACGCGTAAGCAGCTTTCGACTACTCTATGAGAAAATTAGTGCATATGAATATTAATTATATAGGTGACGTGTTTTCTAAGTCAAAGAAATATCTCCCGGTACTACATCAGCTACGTTTCAAAGTTTAATTTGATATATAAATATTTACATCGAGATAGTATTTTTTTGTGAAATAAAATTATAAAATTTAATAAATTAGAACATACAATATTTTACAGATTCGTGTAATGCTTGTAGCAAGGAAGGAGCTTGAGCTTAACAACCCGATTCAGGGCCGAAGTATATAAAAATGCCAAACCTACTCCATTGACATAGGCAAAAAACTATACCACTTTCTCATTCATAAATT